GGCCGTTGTGAACAAAACCCTCGAGGGTGTTGTGTTCCTTCTTTGGGGTAAAGGCAATTCCAACTTGTCTTTTACTCTAGGGTTTAGGGTTTCTGTTCGCCCTAGGGTTTAGGGTTTAGGGTTTAGTGCGCCCAAGAGCACTCCGCAGCTAGCTGACTGGAGGGTTACCTACATAGCTCGCTGGCTCACTGGCTAAGTAGCTAGCTAGCTAGCTAGCTAGATGGCTAGCCAGATAGCCAGCTAGCCAGGTAGCTAGCTAGCTAGCTAGCTAGGTGGCTGGCTAGGTAGCTAGCTAGCTGGCTAGCTAGCTGTTTGCCTTTTTGTTTATTTGCAACAGGAAAAGCTGCAGAGAAGAAGTCTTCGGGTGTATCTCCACTGCGACACAAGCTGCTAAAGGCCGCCCACCCTTCGCCTTTGGCTGTGCGGCTTTTTGCAGGTGAGCTTTCAACTCAAAAGTACTTTTTGAATTATTTTATGTTTTAAACTACATTTTAAATTTAAAATAGAAGCACTTTCAATAAATTCAGACTAAAACAACTTTGTTTCCAACAAAAGAGTGCCGGCCCGTCCTGCTGCTGCTGCTGCTGCTGCGGCTGCTGCTGCTGCTGCTGGCTGCAACGCAGGCTGCGGCCACTTCGCTAAGTGCAACGAGCTGCTGCAGCAAATGGGGAAGCAGCCCATAGACTTCCGGCTGCAACCCTAGCGAGTCGCTGGGCAGCAGGAAGCAGCAGCAACAGCAGCAGCTTTCCATTTGCTTCTTGCGCGTTTGTTAATGGCTAGTTGTTTACTTCCTTTTATTTATTTATTCACAGACACAAAAACAACCAGCAGCAACCAACGCTGCGTGGCAGGCCCAGGCGGGCCAGCTAGCTTGATCTAGCTAGCTAGCTAGCTGACCACGTAGGTAGCTAGTCAGGCAGTTAGCAGGCTAGCTAGCTAGCTAGCCGGGTAGCTATCTGGCTAGCTAGCTAGCTGCCAGCTAGCCAGGCACTGAGGAGGCTGGACGAGCAAGCGAGTGTGGCTAGCTGCCGCACTTGGACGCGAGCTTGCTAAGGGGTCCACTCGCTAGCCACACACCTAGTTAGCTGGGGAGCTCACCCGCTAGCCACACAGCTAGCATAGCTAGGGGGTCCCCTCGCTAGCCACATAGCTAGCTAGCTAGCGCGTCCCCTCGCTAGCTACATAGCTAGCTAGAGGAGGCCGACTCGCTCGCCACACAGCCAGCTAGCCGGAGAGCTCAGCCAATCACCTGCCAGCTAGGTGGCCTCCCTCAGCTGGCTAGCTAGCCCTTTGGCTAGCTAGCCCCTGGCTGGTCAGCCTTTGGCGAGCCAGCCCGTGGCTAGCTAGCCGAAGCTAGCTAGCCACGGGCTGGCTCGACTCCTGCTAGGCGGCCGCCTCTCCATGGGAACCCCGTGGCTGGCCAGCGAGCCCTTGGCTAGCTGGCTGTGGCCAGCTAGCTAGCCCCTGGCCATCCGGCTATGGCTCGCCAGCTAGCCCTTGGCTAGCTGGCTGTGGCTAGCTAGCTAGCCCTTGATTAGCTACCCCGCCCTAGCGGCTAGCCACCTGGCCGGTTTCCATCTACCTGGCCGTGGCTCTCTATCTGGCCGTGACTAGCTAGCTGGCCCCTCCCCAGCCAGCCCTCCCCAGCAGCCGCCCAGCTAGCTAGCCAGCTAGCTAGCCTGCCAGTCAGCTAGCTAGCTAGCTAGCCAGCCAGCTAGCTAGCTAGCCAGCCAGCTAGCTGGCTAGCCAGTCAGCTAGCCAGCCAGCTAGCTAGCCAGCCAGCTAGCTGGCCAGCCAGCTAGCCAGCCAGCCCGCCAGCTAGCCAGCTAGCTAGCTGCGTCGGGGTCCGGGGGGGCCGCGGGGCGCAGGCGAAGGAGCCGCGGGTCGGCCTGGGGGGGCACTTCGACCCAGCGAAAGCGCTGCATGCAAAGCTGCAGCAGTTGGGGGCTGCCGGCGGAGTAAAGGTAAAGCGAAGGCAGCAAAAACATCAGCGACACGAAGAAGACCTGCAGCCGCCGCTCTGCTGCTGCAGCGGCGCTGAGGCGCCCGTAGCCGCTGCGGAAGAACGAACGCCGCACCCACGAACGCCCCAGCATCGCTGCTGCTGCTGCTGCTTTGCTGCTGCTGCTGCTGGTTCGTTGCTGCTGCTGCTGGTTCGTTGCTGCCGCTGCTGGTTTGTTGCTGCTCCTGCTGCGTCTGGCGCGGTTGTTGCTGCTGCTGCGTCGGCGGGTGCTGTTATTGTTGTTGTTGCTGCTGCTGCTGCGTCTCGCGCTGTTGTTGTTGCTGCTGCTGTGTCGGGTGCTGTTGTTGTTGTTGTTGCTGCTGCTGTGTCTGTGGCTGCTGCTGCTGCTGCTGCTGTTCTTTCTGCTGCTCTTAGTGCAGCCGTGGTCTGTGGCTTGACATTTGGGGTTCTAGGGTTTGGGGTTTAGGGTTTGCTGTGCAGCTGCTGTTGTTGCTGCTAAAGATGCGGGTGCAGCGGGTTGGGGTGCTGCGGCGGGCCGCTGGCCAAGCTGCAGGAGTTCTGCTGCTGTGCGCTGCAGCCGATTTAGTTGCCTGCTGCTGCTGCTGCTGCTAACATTGCCCTTGATGCTGCTGCTGGAGGCCAAGACACAACAGCATAACGGCTGGCTGCTGCTTCTGCGAGGCCCCCACAGATCCCGCAGCAGCGCCGCCTCTTGCTGCAGCTGCTACACTTCCGATTCACGAAGATGATACTTTTGCTGCAGTTTCCGCTGCTGCAGCAGCGAATGCTGCCCCTGCTGCCGTTGCTGCTACTGGCGAAGCAGCAAAATTCAATGGGCCCTGCGACCCGACAAGATATGTATGCAGAGGCTCACTCGGGGTACTCCGGAGCTGCTGCAGCAGCAGCAGCCAGCAATTCACAAAAAAAGAGGAAAGAATTAACTGTTAATTCCATTTCCGAAATCGCTGCAGCAAGGGTCAGCAGGGGCTGGGACATGCAGTCAGCGCACGGGGAGCTGCTGCTGCGGGCAGCGGGGCCCCCTCCATCATAGTGCCCCAGATTTGGGGTTTAGGGGTCAAAATATTGGCGAATTTGACTTTAAAAATATGCTTTATTGATTAGAAAGACCATTTATGGTAGCTAGTGCAGCGGGCGCAGAAGCAACAGCAACAGCAGCTGGAGCAGCACTAGCTGATGCCGCTGCTACTGCAGGCGGACTGCCGCTGCGGTCACTGCATCGCTCTCTGAGCAGCGACAGCAGCAGCAGCAGCAGCTAGAGCAGGAGCCACTGCAGCAAAACAAGAGCTTCTCCTTTAGAATTTATTAATATTTAAGTCATATTTGTTTCGCTGCTGAAATCGTCCTTCAGTTTTTGTCCGCCGCTGACCTGCCAGTCCTACTGCAACATGAGAGCAGCAAAGCCCAACAGCCAACAGCAGCACCCCTGCTGCCAGCAGGGGTGGAGCACTGAAAGCTCCCGACTGCAGCTGCATCAGCAGCTGTAGCAGCCGCAAACAGCGGCGCCAGCAGCAGCAGCTGCGGCCACAGTAGCTGCTGCAGCACCACCCCCAGCACCCCTGCACAGGCAGCTGCGGCTCCAGCCGCAGCAGCTTCGGCTGTTGCAGCTCAAGCAGCAGCGGCGGTGGCGCAGGCTGGGGCAGCAAAACTTTTTGCTTTCCTCGTCCCCCCCGCTACCTCCAGTGGCGGACTGGGTCTTTCCGCCTCACCCCTAGCAGCGCTGCAGCAGCAGCAGAACTGCAGCAGCAGGACTGCAGCAGCCGCAGAACTGCAGCAGCAGGACCGCAGAAGCAGCGCTGCAGCTTCAAGGCCACAGGAAACGCAGAGGCGCTGCAGCCCCCAGCAGCAGCAACGCAGGCGCAGCAGCTGCCCTCGAGTTTCCTCGGCACGAGAGCAAGAAGCAGCAGCTGCAGCAGCAGCAGCAGCAAAATACAGTCCTCCTGCGAGGATGGTCACTGCTGTGATGTCTTCAGGGGCGTCAGCGACAGCAGGAACGGCGCCGCGAGCAGCAGCAGCAGAAGCAACAGCTGCTGCTGCTGCTGTTGCTGCCAGCCCCCCAACGTTGCTGCTGCGCACGGCTTCGGCCACTACTGTACCTCCCCTGGCTTCACTTAGACTTGTACGGAGCCACAGCAGCAGCGACTGCAGCAGCAGCAGCAACGGCAGCAGCACGCGGAACAACATTACCAGCAGCGACTGTAGTGACGGCAATGAGTCGCCTAGACCTGCTGCAGCTTCTGCTGCTGCTTCTGCTCCAGCAGCATTGGCAGGAACCTCCCCTTTCTTGAGGAGCTTTACTTTTGACAGCAGCGCTGCCATCGGCAGCAGCAGCAGCAGCAGCTGCAGCAGGCAGCGGGTGGCTTCTTCCTCAGCAGCAGCTGCTGTCCGCATCAGCGAGCGGCGGCTGCGGGGCAGCGAGCTACCTTCTGAGAGCAGCAGCACAGCAGCAGGAGCAGCAGCAGCAGCGCAGCTGCAGCAGTTTGCTGCTGCTTGGTGGGCGCTGCCCTCGGTGGACACCCTCTGCAGCAGCAGCAGCAGCAGCACGGCCATTTGCTCGTCGCTGGACAAAGCAGTTGCTGCTGCTCTCTTTCCCACGAACCCGCCGCTGCGGCTGCAGCCCCTGCTTTCTGAAGAGCAGCAGCAGCAGCAGCAGCAGCACCTGCTGCTGGAGGCTGCTGTTGCCCGGGAAATGCGAGACACGCTGCCCGCTATGTATCGGCAGCGGCAGCAGCAGCTGCATGCTCTCGCGCTGCTGCAGCCTGAGGCTTACCGACAGTGCAAGGGCCTCCAAGCAGCAGCTCAAATCTATAAAGAAAGCCTGGCTCTGCTGCAGCAACTATTTGAGCCGCAGCAGCAGCAGCAACAGCAAGAGCAGCAGCAGCAGGCCGCGGCCGCTGCTGCTCCCGCCGCTGCAACATGTGCAGCAGCGGCAACAATGGGAGATGCGGGAGCGGCAGCAGCAGCAACAGGAGCACCAGACACAGGGCGGCCGCCAGCAGCAGCTGCTGCACCTCAGCAGGAGCAGCAGCAGCAAGAAGCTGGGGCCGCACCAGAAGCAGCAGCAGCAGCAATACCTAGCCGGCAGACTCTCAGGCGAACTTTGCTGCAGCTGCGGCAGCAGCAGTCCAGCTTGGTGGGAGAACTTATGATGGGTATAAGGGACTACATAGGGCCCCTGGCGGGCAGTTCTGGCTGTGGGGGCCCCTCGGGGGGCCCCTCGGGGGGCCCCTCGGGGGGCCCCTCGGGGGGCCCCCTGAGGCGCTCGCAGGGGGCCCCTCCAGGGGCCCCCACGCAGCCAAGCCGCAAGCAGCAGGCGGCGCTGCTGGCTATTTGCGATAAGTTTTTGGAGTCATTTTTTAGTGGAAGAGTTGCGGCAGAAATATTGAGAGAAAGATGCATTGGCGCCTTGGAGGGATGTGAGTTGCTGCTGCTGCTGCTGCTGCTGCTGCTGCTGCTGCGGTTGCTGCTGCGGTTGCTGCTGCGTCAGTGGGAGCTGCTACTAGTGTTGTCTGCTGCTTGAAGCTGTTCTTAGTGGTGGACAGACGCCTTGCTTCCATGCCTGTGCTGCTTCTGATGCTTCTGCTGCTGCTTTTGGTGCTGCTGCTGCTGCTGCTGCTGCTGCAGGGAACCCGTCAGGTGCTGCGCTGCAGCAGTGCGCTGTGGACTCGCTGGTAGTCCGCGCAGCAGCAAATGCGCAGCGGCTGGCACATAGCAGCCTCGGTGTGGCTCCTGCAATCAGGGTGTTCTTGTCTTCCGTTTGTTGCTGCTGCAACCACAGCAGCAACTGCAGAAGCAGCACGGACACCAGCAGCAGCAACAGCAGCGGCGCGTGTGGCAGCAGCAGCAACAGACTGTCCTCCCCATTTCCGAGCCCGCAGATGCGCCTTGTGCAGACGCCAACGCCCGGGGGCAGCAGCAGCAGCAGCAGCAACGACGGCAGCAGCGGCAGCTCCATCCGCAGCAGCAGCGGGCCGTGTAGGTGCACAAACGTGACTTGCTGCTGCAGCTGCAGCAGCGGCAGCACCGCAGGCAGCAGCAGCAGCAGCAGCAGCAGCAGCAGCCGCAGGCACGCAGCAGACAACCGAGTGGTTGTTCGCTGCGCCCCTGCATACGTCTACAGCGGCTGCTTCGAACTTATCAAGAACGCCATAGAGGCTACGGTGCAGCGGCAGCAGAAGCAGCAGCAAAGTCAGCAGCAACAGCAGGAGCAGCAGGGAGCTGTCGAGGAGGAGCAGCAGCAGGAGTGGGATGCAATGCCCGTGAGACAGTCTCGGTGTATATACAGCCTGCCCGCGCTTTGTGGTGCTCCTTCCGAAGAGCAGCAGCTTCAGCTGCCGCAGCAGCAGCAGCAGCAGCAGCAGCAGGCCATCAAGTTGCCCCCCGTCGATATTCACCTTATACTGGCTGCAGAGTCGGGGGTTGTGGTGAAGGTACGCTCCCAGCTGCAGCAGCAGCAGCGTGATCTTTGGAAAGCTGCTGTCGCAGCAGCAGCAGCAGCGCGAAGTGTAGGCGGCTACTGCCGCTGCTGCTGCTGCTGCCTGGTCTGAGCTGCTGCTGCTGCGGCCCCACTTCTGCTGCTGCAGGTGTGTGACAGCGGCAACGGCCTGTGTCTGACGGAGCAGCAACTCGCATGGCGCTTCTTATACTCCACCAGGACCATGCCAGTGGATCGGCAGAACAAGACGCGAGCTGGCTCCGGTACCTTTACATTGCTGCTGCTGCTGCTGTTGCTGCTGCTGCTGCTGTTTCTGTTGCTGCTGCGGGTGTTGCTGTTGCTGCTGCTGTGGCTGCTGCTGTTGTTGCTGCTGCTTCTGTTGTTGCTGCGGTTGTTGCTTTTGCTGCTGCTGTTCCTGCTGCTGCAGGTGTTGCTGGTGGCGCTAGGTATTGAGATGCTGCTGCAGCTGAGTTTGCCGCCGCTGCAGTACATCCCTGTTATTGTTGTTGGTGCTGCTGCTGCTGCTGTTGCTTCTGCAGCTGCGGCTCTGTTCTCAGGTTGGGGTGTAGGTCTTCCTCTTACGCGTATGTACGCCCGGGCTCTCGGAGGCGATGCTTTTATGGAGTCTAGGATTGGGTAATTTGCTGTTGCTGCTGCTTCTGCTGCTGCTGCTGCGTTCTCTCCTATAGTTGCAGCTGCTAGGATCTCGTCTGCTGCTGCTGTTGTTGGCTTTGCCAGTGCTTGTATCGCTGCTGCTGCTGCGGCAGTTGTTGCTGTTGTTGTCCCAGGCCCGGCATTCATTTGTACAGATGAATTTATATCTACATGCATTAGTGCATTGAATATATTTATGTTTACCCTTGTATACCAACTGGGTGGTCTTTACTTGTTAGGTATAGCATATTCATGTATGGTATCCAAAGTTGGGCTGTTTATGCTGCTGCTGCTGCTGCTGCTGCAGCAGAGGCACACGGTCGTACTTGTACGTGCCGGATATCAGCCCCACTGCATGCACTGCCTCGCCTCAGACCAATTCTGCTGCTGCTGTGGCGCCCCTGTGCTGCTGCAACCCCCTGGTCTGCGGCCCCCGAAGGCAGCAGCAGCACGAGAAGCAGCAGCAGCTTCAACAGCAACAGCAGCAGCAAATGCAGCAACGGCAACAGCTGCAGCAGCAACACCTGCAGCAGCAACACCTGCAGCAACAGTCGCACAGCCGCTGCTGCAGCAGCAGGAGCAGTAGCGGTAGTAGCCACTGCAGCCAACAAAGTTAGCTGTCTACGTGAAGACCAGCAGCTGCTGCCGGCAACAGCAGCAGCAGCATTAGCAGCTGCAGCACGTCAGTGCAAACAATGCAAATGGCTGTGAGAGGCAGCGTGAGGCCTCCAGTCTGCTGCAGTTCGCAGTGTCGGACTATTTTTGATTTGAGGCCTCAGCAGCAGCTGAAGCAGCAGCAGCGGTAGCAGCACCATTACTAGCCGCAATCATAGCAGCAGTAGCAACAGCAGAGAAGGCAGCTTCAATCTTGCCTCTGCTGTCAAAGGGCCACACGAGATGGTCTTTGTAGTGGCATCGGCGAACCCCATTTCTTGCCGAGTGGTCCTGTTGCTGCTGCTGCAGCAGCACACCGCAGCACTAGCGCTTGCTGCCAGCAGCCAGAAGCTGCTGTGACGAGAGCGTGCGAGCCACTGCGGCTGCAGCAGCAGCAGCTGCAGCAGCCGCAGCAGCTCGACGGACAGATTTCCCTTTGTGCGACTGCCTGTAATATGCGAATTTGGTTTGTTTCAGCAGCAGCTGCGGCAGCTGCTGTCGCCATAATATTGCTGCTGCAGCGATTGCTGCTACAGCACTTACTCCTAGTTTGGTGCTTCGACTGCAACAGCAAGCCAGCAGCAGCAGCAGCACCTGCCGTAGCCCATTGAAGTGCGGCGGCACGCAACAGCAGCAGCTGCTTCCCGAAAAACATGCAGCGCAGCTAGTGAGAGCAGCAGCAGAAGCAGTAGCAGCAGCGGGGTCGCTGAAGTCTAGGGAGCCTTGAGACTCCGCACGTAGCAGCAGCTGCAGCTGGCGCACCGACAACGTCTGCCCCTTTTGCTGCTGCTGCGCCACAGCTTCCCCAGTGGCAGCATCTAGAGCAGCAGCACGTGCAAATCAGCTCGCGTTGTTGCAGCAGCAACAGCTGCTGCTGCTGCTGCAACTTTCCCGCTGCTGCTATGCAAAAAACGATTTAGCCCCAAGAAAAACTCAAATCTTAAAATATTGCGTCCATGGGTAGCAGCAGCAGCAGCTGCTGCTGCTGCTGCTCCTGCAGCACGATGAACTGCTACACGCGACGTTCCGGGGAAGGCATTGGCCGCAGCGCAGCGAGAAGCTTGGCCGTGGACTCTGCTGCCGCTGCTGGTATTGCTGCTGCTGCTGCCATCGCAGCTCCTGCAAACTGCTGCTGGCGCATGAACAGCTGCTGCTGCACTGATGGCAGCACCTGCTGCTGGCGCGGGGATAGAGGTGTTGGAGGGGAAGCATTAGCAAAGGTAGCAGACGCTGCCTCTCCCGCTGCATTCTTATCCGCTTGCTGCTGCTGCTGCTGTTGCTGCTGCTGTTGCTGCTGCTGCTGTTGCTGCTGCGGCAGGGCGTAGCGGTCAAGGTACAGCTGCAGCTGGCGGGACGTCAGTTCCTTGTTGAGGCGCGCATTCACTGCAGCAACAAGAGCAGCAGCTACGACGAGAGAGCAGCTGTGAGAGTACGAGCAGCAACAAGAGCAGCAGCAGCAGGAAACGCAGCAGCAAGAAGAGCAACAGCTGCAGGAAGGGCAGCAGCGGGAAGGAGAGTAGCAGCAAAAATCTCACTTTCTTTTGACGCCTCCAGCTCCGCCTGCAGTTTCTGTACCTGGGCCGCGAGGCTCTGGCACTCCGCATGCAGCGCTTGTTGCTGCTGCTGTTGTTGTTGCTGCTGCTGCTTCAGCTTGTGTTGCTGTTGCTCCTCTTGCTGCTGCACCTCCTCTAGCGCCTTCAGCTTTGCCTCCAACTCCTCTTTGGCCTACAGCAGCCGCAGCAACAGCAACTTCAGTTGCAGCAAGATGTAGGCGCAGCAGCAGCACCACCTATACGACCAAGCACAGCTACAGCAGCAGCGGCGACAGCGACACAGCAGCAGGAACTGACTGCAGCTGCTGCTGCAGCTTCTGCAGCACACTGCTTGGCCTTGGCCTTGCTGCTGCGCACGGACTGCTGCAGCTTCGCCACCACTGCATTTCCCTACACCAGAAAGACACGCAGCTAAACGCTGCTGCTGCTGCTGCTGCTGCTATTGTTGTTAGTGTTAATACTGTGCGTATTCTTGTTGCTGTCGTTATCTTGGCTGTTCTGCTGCTCTTTCGCCGCTGCTGCTGCTGGCGAAAGACATAGGAGAGAGACAAGCAGCAGCAAGAAGGAAGCGAAAGCGAACAAGAGCACCGCAAACGACTGCAGCAGCGGCCGCAGGGACCGTTGGCAGTTGCTGCTGCAGCACAGCTTCCAATGCATGCAAACACGGAGGCAGCAGCGACAGCAGGAAACACTGACACACACAGCTGCCAGCCTGGGGGCCCCCATGGGAAACTGGGGGCCCTCGCGAGGAGGGGCCCCCATGGGGCCCCCTCGTCCCCTAGGGGCCCCCAAAAGCAAACAAAGAAACAAACTCAAGGCAGGAGAGACCTCACTTTCTCGAGCTCGCGAACGAGGTGGTCAACTTCAGCAGAGCGGCTGGCGTGTTCCGTTTTAAGCTGCTGCAGCTGCTGCTGCAGCTGCTGCTGCTGGCTGCTGCTCGCCTGGAGCTGCTGCTGGGCTTGCTGTGCTGCTGCTGTGACCTCCTCCAGCTGCTGCTGCAGCCGCCTGTTTTCCTGCTGCAGCCGCTGCGCTTCTTCGATATGGTGTTGATGCTGCTGCTGCAGCTGTATAGTCGTTTGCTGCGCTGTTGCTTCTGCAGCGGTAGCAGCAGCAGCAGCGGCGCGGGCCTCAACGAGCTGCTGCTCCAGCGCCTGCAGCTGCTGCTGCTGGCCTGCGGCAGTCGCCTCCAACTGCAGCAAATAGCACAGAAGGAACCAGCAGAGGCTGCCAGGGAACACAACCTTCCTGCAGCAGCGAAAACACCAGCAGCAACGGAAGCAGCAGCAGGACCAGCAGCAACAGTAACGTACATGAAGCACTTGCTGCTGGGCACTTTGAAGTCGTTCGGTGAGACGCTGACATTGCTCCTCGTGCTGCTGCTGTTGTTGCTGCTGCTGTTGCTGTTGTTGCAGCAGCATTTGGCGTTGCTGTTCTTCTGCAGCAGCAGCCGCATCCTGTTGCTGTTGCTGCTGTTGCTGGGCAAGCTGCAGCAAGGACGCCTCCCTGTGTTCACAGCAGAAACTCGCAGACGGGCCTGCTGCTGCAGCAACACCAGAAGCTGCAGTTTCCGCAGTTCGCTGCAGGAACTTCGTGTGCACGACGGCAGGCACTTACGCTTCCTGCTGCTGCTGCTGCAGCAGCAGCAGCAGCTGGCGGTTCTCTCGCTGGAGCTCCGCTGCAGTTCCGCGAAACGAGGCACAGTGATGCTGCAGCAGCATGAGACAGGAACACCAGCGCAACGCACAAGGCACTGCTGCAGCAGTTACTGCTATTTTGAAGCACACGAGCTGCAGCTACTGCAGCAAGAAGGATACAAGGCAGCAGCAGCAGTAGCAGCAGCAGAGGCTGGGGCAGCGCGCGCTTGGTACCTGGAAGTACTGCAGGTGGGCGGTGAGGTGTCTGTACACCTCAGCAGTCGTGCCTGCCCGCAAGTCGAAATACAGATGAACAATTTCTCTAAAGGCATTTGTTTCTATAAGCCTTAGCACCGCCGTGGGGGGCCTTCCTGCTGCTGCTGTTGCTGCTGCTGCTGTTGCTGCCGCCGCTCGCCGTGCGTCGGCGGCTACGGCGGCACCTTCCCCAGGAGGCAGCGCTGGCGCTGCAGCAGCAGCAACACCAGAGGCGCCGGCAATCCCAGTAACAGCTGCAGCAGCAGCTTGTGCAGCAGCAGCCTCTGGAGACAGAACAAGCACCGCAACAAGCCTGCAGCAGCAGCAGGCGCAGCGGAGGCTGCTGTGATGCAGTGTCTAAACTAAATCTGCACCGCACACACGTGCAGCAGCAGCAGCAGCAGCAGCAGCAGCAGCAGCAAGATACCTTGGCTGCGCCGGCTCTCCTGCAGCCTCTGCAATGCATTCCTTCACCAAATCCAACACCTGAGGCGCAGCCAGAGAGGGAGTTTAGGGGTGAGTATCTCGCGGCCAGCTCAAGCTCTTAGGGTTTAGGGTTTAGGGTTTAGGGTTTGGGGTTCGTCAGCAGCGACAAGGGCTTGGGCTTGGGGTTTGCGCACTCTGAATCCAAAGGCTTTGAAATCCACTCGAAGCTGCTGCTGCTGCTGCAGCGCAGCAAAACTCGTGCTGGAGATGCAGCAGCCAAACAAGAAGGGCGGACACTCGGGGTCACTCAGCTCTACGCGTAGACCCTGCAGCAGCAGCAACAGCAGCAGCAGCACGGGGTGACAAAAGCAGCGCAAACAGCAGCACTTGCAGCAGCAGGGAGCCTCCGGAGCTTTTCCTGCCTTTTCTGCGTAGCAGCAGTAGAGGCAGCAGCGAAGCAATGGCAGCAGCAGCAGCAAGCGTGCCTCGTTGTCTTTGTAGAGCCTGAAGCAAAGGCTCCTGGCGTATCCGATGCTGCTGCTGCTGCTGCTGCTGTTGCTGCTGCACTCCTGCTGCGTGGCGATGCGGACTTTAAGGCGCGAGCTGTACATACACACCGACCCTGACCCCGCTGCCTCAGCAGCAGCAGCAGCAGCACACCAGCAGCCCTCCACGCCGCAAGGTCCTAAGTCTCTAAGCTCTTCATTGCAGCAGCAGCAGCTGCTGCTCAGCTGCTGCGTGCTGCTGCTCAGCCACCCTCTTGCAGCTGCTGTGTGATCCGCTGATGCTGCTCCTGCTGCTGCTGCCGCTGCTGCTGCATCTGCTGTTGTAGCTGGAGCAGCAACAGCGGCCGTCTCGGGCGAGGGGCTTAGGTGCCACGTGGGGTCCATGCAGGGGCATGCAGAGCTCTCGCCGCAGCCGCAAGCTGCTGCTGCTGCTGCGGCTGCTGCTGCTGCTGCTGCGGTAGAACTGCGGCTACCCGCAGACAGTAGCGCGCCTCCCCTGCTGCATCCCGCTAAAGACAAAGTAGCCACTTGTCTCTGCGGATGCACGCCTCTGTGCTGCCTGTCCTGCTGCTGCTGCTGCAGAGAGCGCGGATGATGCTGCTGATGCTGAGTTAGCTGCTGCTGCTGCAGTTGAAGCTGCTGCAGTGCGACCTGCTGCCGCAACCGCTCTAGCTCCTCGTGGACATTCTGGTCGTGCTCTTGCTGTTGCGCCTGCTGCTGCTGCAGCTGGTGCTGCTGCTGGTGTTGCTGCAGCAGGTGCAGCTGCTGGTGATGCTGATGCAGCTGCAGCAGCTGCTGCTGATGCTGCTCCGTGCTGCCGGCCTGGTGCCATTGCAGCGGCAGCTTCGGGGAAAGCGAGCTATGCTGCTGCTGCTCGTGTTGCTGACGCTGCTGCAGCTCGTAGAGCGAGTTTGGCTGCAGCAAAGGGCTGCGCAGCGGTTGCTGCTGCGCCTGCTGCGAAGCGTACACACGATCAGCAGCAGCAGCTGCTGCTGCAGCAGTTACTGGTGCTGCTCGCACTGCAGGGCGTGCAAGGGCAGCTCCGGCCTCCATCTGGTGCAGCAACACGCAGCAGCACCTGCTGCCGTGGGCGTGGCTGCTGCTGCTGCTGCTGTTGCTGCCGTTGCTGCTAGTGCCGCTGGTGCTGCCGGTGCTGCTGTTATTTCTCACGGGAACGGTCGGGTGCAGCAACAGACAAAACAGCAGGACCTGCTGCTGTTTTGGGGGGTTCTGCTACAGAGGTTCTTCTGGGCTGCTGGCGAGCTGCCACTGCAGCCGAACTGCTACTGCGGCTGCTGCTGCTGCTGCTGCTGCTGCAGTGTGACTCCGCGCAGTTCGGCGCCTTTCAGTAGGTCATTTATGGTGCTAAAAAAGTAACTTTGCGGATGCTAGTGCTGCTGCCGTTCTCGCCAGTGCTGCAGCTCGACTCCCACCAGGATCACCACCTCCACCACCCCGCCAGAGGCAGCCCCGAGGCAGCAGCAGCAGCAGCAGCTGCTGCGCTGTTCCGTGCATATGCGTTGGAGTACAATATTTCTTTACATTTCTCGGTAACTTGTTGTGCTGACGGCTCCTGGATTTACGCGTAGAGGCGCAAGCAGCGACGGCAACAGCAAGAACACAGGCAGCAGCCGCAGCGGCGGGATGTCCTGCTGCTGCAGCAGGCTCCACTAGCTGCTGCGTGTAGCCTGCTGATCGCTGAATTGAGTCTTGCTGCTGCTGCTGCTGCGGGATGTGCCCACTGAGCCACTTCCAGGAGGGTTTTGGCCCCTCCGGAGCGGCAGCTGCAGGAGCAGCAGGAACAACAACAGCAGCAACAGCAGCAACCACCGCTGCGGCACCTTCTGAAGCGGCCATGGCAGCAGCACCAGCGGGCGAAGCTGCCCAAGACGTTGCAGCGGACTTATTGACGACGCTGTACACCAGCCTTCTCGGCGCTGCAGATGAGCTCTGCACCACCAGCAGCAGCGGCAGCAGTGGCAGCAGCAGCAGCAACAGCAACGCCGAAATGTGCCGTGCAGGACTGCAGCACATCGCAGCCACGGCAGCCACACTTGCGGCAGGAATGCTGCCGCAGGAGCTGCATGAAGCCCTGCAGCAAGTTGCTGCACTGTCGTCACAGGAACTAGCAGACTGCAGCAGCAACAGTGCAGCAGAGGAGGCACAACTGCAGCAGCAGCAGCCTGCTGCTCCCCGCGTCGCCGTCCCTTTCCTTTCTGTTGAGGGCCGCGACATCTGTGTGCACTTCCCAGGAGAGTCAGCAGCAGCATCAGCAGCAGCAACCACGGCAGCGGCAGCCCCTGCAGCAACAGCCACCGCAGCAGCAGCGGCAAGACATGCTGCAGATCAGCCAGCGGCTTCGAGTGCTTGCGAAGGGTCAGACGCTGCGCTTCAGCAGCCACAGGAGCCTCCGCAGCAGCAGCAGCAGCAAGACTCGCAGCAGCAGCAACAGCAGCAGCTGCAGCTGCTGGACGAGCAGCAGCTGCGGCTGCTGTGTGCTTCTGTTGCTGTGCTGCACGATGCTGCAGTAGAGAAGCTGAAGGACTTCTGGAAGAGCGCCCCTGATTTGCTGGAGAAGGTGCAGCGGGCTGATGTTGCTGCTGCTGCTGCTGCTGAAAGCAGCAGCAACGACCAGCAGCAGCAGCCCACTGATCTGCTACTAACCACTAGTAGAGAAGGCCCTGCTGCTGCTGCACTGCAGGAGCTTGAGCAGCTTGCAGGAGGGCGAGACAACATGCTGCTGCTGCTGGGCCTAAAGCGCTCAGCAGCAGCAGCAGCAGCAACAACAACAGAAACTGATGACAGCACAAATGCGTCTGTGTTGCTTGCGGATAGCGAAGACACCCAAGCAGCAGCAGCGTCAGCAGCAGCAGCAGCAGTGACTCCAGCAGCAGCAGCAGAAGCCGGGCGGAATCCTGCAGCAGCAGCCGCCCCCCGCGTGGTCTCCCTTGCAGACATCAAAGATGTTTCACTGCTACATGGCATGCAGCAACAGCAGCAGCAGCAGCAGCAGCAGCGAGGCAGCTGCGCTGCGACGGTTTCTGTGGTGTCTGTGGGCTCGAGCATCAGCTGCTCCCCAAGAGCAGCAGCACAGGGCAGCCCTGCAGCCGCAGCAGCAGCACCTGCTGCAGCAGCAGCGGCCACTTTGCCGGCAGCTGCCCCGGAAGCGGCGGCAGCAGCAGCAGGGAGAGGGGAACTGACGGGGCTGCAGCAAGTGGCGCTGCAGCTGCAGCAGCTGCATGCAGCAGTTCAAGAAGAGACACGCAAGCTGCAGGAATTAGCCTCCTTTTACGACCTTTTTGCTGCTCAGTCTCTGGGCCTCGCAGATGGCACACTTTAGCTGCTGCAGCATTCACAGCGCGCTGCGGGAGCAGCAGCTGCTGCTGCCGTTCGTGCTGCTGCAGCAGGCGCAGACAAGGCTATCGCAGCTGCCGCAGCTGCCGCTGCTGCCGCATCTGCAGGACCTGCAGCGGCCGCTGCTCCGAGTTCTGCTGCTGCAGCTACTGGCAGCAGCAGCTGAAACTGGATGCTTTTTGCCGTTTCAAAGCAAACTCGCTGCCTCCAGGAGCTAGCCAACTCCCCAACTCACCACTCTGCCTGCTATATGGCTAGCTAGCCATTTATCTAGCCGATTCAGCTCTAGCTAGCTAGCCAGTGCGAGTTCAGTTCCCCTGAGAAGGACAACAGAGTAGAACTGCAACAAAGTGTCATCTGGCTAGCCAAGCACGAGCGCAGTTAGCCACCTCAACATCAAATTACAAAGCTAGCTAGCTAGCTAGCTAGCTAGCTAGTCCACGGCTGCCGGTGCAGATCGCCAAATAAAACAGACGCTGCCGCAGCATCTGCTGCTGCAGCTGCTTTCTATTGCTGCTGCTGCAGCACACTCTCCCGAAGCAGCAGTCGACGTTGCTGCAGTTGGTTGCAGCATCAGTTGCTGATGTACTTGTGTCGCGCTGGCATGCCAGCAGTTGCTTCTGCTGCGGTTCAGCAGGGTTTGCTGCTGCTAGCGCTGCAGCAGCTACTGCTGTTGCTGCTGCAGCTGAGCCGCCTGCTGAAGCGGTAGGGGCTTGAGAGGCCCCTCTCTAAATGCTGCTGCCTTTCTGCAAGCAGCAGCGATGGCCCAGGGTCCAAATATATCGAGAAGAATGAGCAGCTGCAGCTGCAGCTGCAGGCGCGTGTCAGTGAAGAGAACAAGCTCTAGCGCTTGGTTGAGAAAGGGCAGCAGCTGCAGCAGCAGCAGCAGCAGCACCAAGAATCCCCCCAGCAGCATGCGCCACAAGCGCCGGTTCTGGCGCAGCGGCTGCGACCAGGGGGCCCCCTCGTAATTCGCAAGGAAAGTTGAGAGATGCATGCAGAGAGATAAGTAGAAAACTGCAGTGTTGACTTCATCTGGCTTGAACAGGTCCTCATCCTCGCTGCTGCTGCTGCTGCTGCTGCTGCTAGTGCCGCCGCTGCTGCTGCTGCTGCTGTCTCGCAGCGCCCGAGCCAAGACCCACGCCCTAGCGAGGCACCACACATGGAGGGCCCCTTGCCCCACGAGGGACAAAATGCCCCAAAAAGAAAAGACGGAAGTTGGCGGGGGTTTATTCCCCATGAATCCCTTTACCTGCTGCTGCTGCTGCTGCTGCTGCTGGGCGTTTTCTTCTGGGGAAGCGCTGAGACACAGCGTGAGCGTCGTAGAAAGGCAGCTTTCTATGGCTGCCTGCAGGTCGCTGTAGCGAACTCCGTCAGTAGACAAAACAGACAAAGAAAATGCAGTGACAGTGCAGTTTAGAGCAATGAGGCGGTGCATCAGCAGCAAAGAAGAGAGGCAGCAGCGGCCCTCAGACACCACGCGCGACACTACGCCAATGCCGCTGTCCCGGCAGGTGAAAGCAGCAGCAACGGAGGCGGAGCCCAGGGGCACCAGCGTGCTTTCCCCGGCCAGCCCCTCTAGCGTGCGCTCCAGCAGCTGCTGCCGCTGCTGCTGCGGCGACAGCTGCTGCTGCTGCCGCTGAGTCGCAGCAAGGCCTGCTGCACCCGGCCGCCCAGCCCCGGCAGCGCCAGCGCCAGGGCCGGCAGCAGCAGCAGCTGCTGCTGCTGCCGAGACCGCAGCACAAGGCGCGCTGGAGAGAACTGACACCCCCACTGCCGCTGTTTTCAGTGCCCCAATGTCGTTGGCCCCGTCGCCACACATGAGCACGGGGAATCCCTCAGCAGCAAATGCATGCACGACCTGCTGCTTCTCTCGGGGAGAAAGACGAGCGAAAACGCGCACGTATCGCACCAGCTGCCGCAGCAGCTCTTGCTGCGACGCATCCTGCTCCTGCTGCTCCTGCTGCTGCTGCTGCTGTTGCAGCGTCAGCTCTTCGCGGCAGCCCAAACGTGCTTCCTGCTCCTCCGCCGTTTCCAGCTGCTGCACCGCCGGCCGCCGCAACTGCTGCTGCCGCTGTTGCAGCTGCCGCAGCTGCTGCAGCACAGTGCCACAGACGCAAAATGAATAGTCCTGCGAAGGCTCGGGGGTCAAGGCTGCAGCAAATGGCAGCCGTACGTTGCCGTCTGAGGAGACCCACTGCAGCACGCGGTTAACCCTGCTTTCCAACACGCTGCTGCTGCTGCTGCTGCTGTTTGAGCTGCAGATGGAGTCGTTTGCTGCCGCCTCTTCTGCTGCTGCTGCTCTTCGAGCCCTGGGCTGCATTTGCTGTGAGCTGCCGGGGGACGTCTCGATGGTCTCTTCGGCCTCTGAGAGGCTGAGAAACAAAGGAAGCAGCTTGCCCGTAGCCTCCTTGCTGCTGCTGCTGTTGTTGCTGCTGCAGCCGCAGCAGCTTGGGACCCCGCAGGTGCTGGGGTGGTGTATGATGCCAACATCAGCCGCAACAGCAGCAGCTGTCAGCGCGTGGTCTCCCGTGAGCATAACCACCTGCTGGCCAGAGCGGCGCAGCAGCTGCAGCTGTTGCTGCACTCCTGGCTTAATTGCAGCGGCAAAAGCCAGAAACCCACAAAAAAGCAAATCTCGCTCCAGGGCTTCACGAGGAGAGGACTGAGGGTTCGTCGTGCACACGCGAGCAGCCACAGCCAACACGCGCAGCCCCTGCAACAGAAGCAGCACAGAAACAACAGCAGCTTCGCCTGTTCCTGCCTACAGATGCAGCAGCAATAGCTGCAGCGGCAACAGCTGCAGCAGCGACAGTTGCAGCAAGAACAGCTGCAGCGGCAACAGCTGAACAACAACTGGGGCAGCTTTGGCAGAAGCAGCAGCCACTGCCAACAGCAGAAACAGAAACGGCGACACGAGCAAAAGCAAATGTTAAAACAGCAGCAACAGCAGCAGCGGGACCCGCAGCAGCACCAGCAGAATCTGCAGCAATAGCAGGCCGCACCCTTCCAGTCAGCTCATCTGCAATAGAGTCATAAAAAGGCGGCACTTTCCCCAGAAACTGTTTTATCCGTTCTGGGGCCCCCTTAACGGCAACGATGAACCCTTTGGGCTTCTGCTGCAGCAGCTCGCGCAGCTCTTGCTGCCCCTGCTGCTGCTGCTGCTGCTGCTGGTGCAACGGCCCACGCCACACGTCTTCAGTCGTTCTATATTCCGCCACAGAAGTCGTTCGCTGGAGATTAGACGTGAAGGGGAAACACAGCAGCAGAGACACCCGAGCAGAAGCCTCTCCTCGCTCATCTGCAGCAGCAGCAACAACAACACTAACAGCAAGGCGCCAGATGAGCGAAACGAGTTCCTCGCTGCAACATCAAACGCTGAACTCTGAGCCAGAAACGTCAGCAACACATGCAGCCACAACAGCAAGAGCTGCAACAACAGCAACTGCAACAGCAGCAACAGCAGCTGTAATAACAGTCGCCGCAGCAGCAGCAGTTAAAACGGCAGCAGCACTAACTTGCTAGCACGGCGGTTCTCTGGGAGGTGAGCTGCCAGCCGAAGCTCTTGAAGGCAGCAAGCTCCAGAGGGTCCCCTACGAGCACTCCTTTGCTGTCAGGCCTGAGGCAGTGGCAGGAGCCAACAGCAAGAGCTGTCAGCAGCGGCAGCTCCTGCAACAGCAGCAGCACCACAGTAGCAACAACAAAAGCGTGCGCGCCTCACGAAGCTGGCCAGACGGCAGATTAATCCTTCGCACACAGGAAAGCCTCGTTCTCTCATCATAGTGTACATAAAGCTATATTGTGCATTATGCACAAATAAAACTCTAACCCTAAGCTGCAGACTACCACAGCAGACAGAGCAGCAGCCGTTTCTGCTGCCATGGGCGCTGCTTGCTGCTGCTGTTGGTGGGGCGTACCTGTCTCGGCAGCAGCGAAGGCCTGTTGCTTGTGCCTGCGTTCGCTGCGACTGGCGAGCCCTTTTTTGATTGCTGCTGCTGCTGCTGCTGCTGCTGCTGCTCTTTGTCGTGGTCTTGGGGTTTGTTGCCAACACCGAATACGCCCAGCAAGTCATAGTTGTGGAACGTGAGAGTGCCCGTCTTGTCAAAGGCAGCTACGCGCACTCCACCAGCCGCAGCAAGCCTACAGCAGCAGCAGCAGCAGGACGCACCCTTAGCAGCAGCAACTAGCGCCCCACAGCGGCAGCCCCAACAGAACACCAACTTCGTGCAGCTCGACGGCCAGGAAAAGCTATAAAGCGCGTAGCAAGGACAGGCCAACTGCAGCACCAGTAAAACGCTGCAGCAGCCGCAGCAACAGCAGCGGCGTACTTCAGCGTGTCTGTGCAGCAGATGCCAGCCCTGGCAAGATGCAGAACGCCAACAGTGAGAGTGAGAGAAAGGAGCATCGGGAACTCCGGGGGAACAACAGAAGTGATGATGTGGGAGAGAGACAACAGCAGCCGCCACATGGAGGGTTTGCGGTATTGCTGTGGCTGCAGCTGCAGCTGCTGCAGCTCCTGCTGCAGCTGCTCGGGCGACGGCTGCAGGAACTGCAGCAGTGGAGGCAGCGTAGTGTAAAAGTAAGAAAAGGGGGAGACGGGAGACGTGAACGTCACGTAGCAGCAGCAGCACAGCGCCAGCAGCAGCAGCACGAATAGAAACACCCAGCCTTCTCTGCTGCTCGAATGCGGCGCGTTCGTTGTTTCCATTAAAGTCCGCAGCAACTGCCCCTGAAACAGCAGCAGCAGCAACGGCAGCAAAAGCAGCAACAAAAAGTCTGCTCCACGCCTATGGCCTTGCAGCAGCAACGGCAGCAAAAGCAGCAACAAAAAGTCTGATCCACGCCTATGGCCTTGCAGACTTTAAATCAAATAGTTCCAACCCACAGAGACTGAGATCAATAGCATTCACTTGAAGACTGCGTGTCAAACCCTAAACCCTAAGCACCCAACAAGCCCTGCAGCCTAAACCCTAAACCCTAAACCCTACTTCGGTGGTGGCGAACCCTGTGCGGACTGCTAGGGCTACGGGGGAGGCATTTGGAGGTCTGCAGCAGCGAAGACCCGAACCCTTGTCATTGTCCGCAGCCAACAAAGAAGTGCCTGCAAAGACCCACACTATCAGCTTTGCTGGCCTTGGCTAGCTGCAGCCCGCCCCCGCTAGCCACAGCTAGCCATAGCTGGCCGCAGCTAGTCACAGCTGGCCACAGCTAGCCATCGCCGGCGACCCATTTCCAGGCAAGCGAGCGCTGCAGCCGCCCACAGAGGCTGCTGCTGGGAGCCGCAGCAGCTGCAGCGGAAGCCGCCGCTGCACTTCAAGATGCTGGGACTTGAGAGCTAGAACTTGGCTTTTGGGCTCTCACCTGCAAAGAAGGCAAACTGTTTGTGCTTCCCTTGGAGGTCAAGGGCCTCATCAAGAGCCCCGACTTCTGCAGCAGTTAGCGACAGAGCCGCCTTTGCTTGGGGAATGGCCTCTCCTGAAGCAGCAGCAAAAGGAGGTACCACAGCAGCAGCAGCAGCAGCAAACATATGCAGGCCGTACCCTTGTCCGACGACGGCAGCAAGCCCTGATAGCACAAGATTGCAGCAGCTTTACTTGAAGTTTAAAGATTTCAAATCTTACCCGTCAGCAGAGACTCGTCGATCACAGCAGTTCCCTGCAGCAGCAAACCGTCCACTGGGGCCAGGACGGACCCGCTGCTGCTGCTGCTGCTGCCAAGGTCCCAGCAGAAAACGTCACCAGGCAGAAGCTCTGCTGCGTCAACGAGCTTCCACGAGCACGTGCTGCTGTTGTTGCTGCAGAGCTTGCGGTGTACGTACACCCGAGGCGGCACCTGCTGCATCTTCCGCACTCTCAGCAGTTCCCTCCGGTGCTTCAGCGCAGTCTGCAACAACAGCACAAACATCAGCAGCAGCAACAAAGTCTTTTCTTGCATTCAGTCTGTCACAGATTCGAACGCAGCAGCTGCAATGGAACTGGCGACGTCTCTTAGGGAGGCGAACGGCAGCAATAACAACCTGCAGCGACCAGCAGCAGCAGCAGCAGCAGCAGCAGCTTCTGGAGCCTACCTGAGCCTCGACAATGATTAGCAGAACGAGGGTTAATAAAGGGAAGCCCCAGTAGCCATCCAGTAGCCACAGACACACGCAAGCTGTTTGGAAGCAGAAGAAAGGCGATAGCAGCTGCTGCTGCAGCAGCACGCCAAATGAAGGCACTGGCACTTCGCAGCAATTGCGGCCAAACCGCAGCCTGGCGTCCTTTGCGAACTTATCCATGTTTCCACCTGCTGCTGCTGCCGCTGCTGTTCCCGCTGCTGCTGCTGCTGCTGCGCCTGCTGCAGGGAGCTCTATCAGCCCTGTCCAGTCCAAATAGCTGCGCAGCGGCAAATGCTGCGGGGCCTCCACTGGGAAGAAATCTGCTTTCTTTAAGTCGTACAAGTAACGCTGACCCCTGAGGGTTATGAGCAGCTCAAACTGCTGCTGCTGCTGCTGCTTCTGCTGCTGCTGCTGGTGCTGGTGCTGGTGCCTGTGCGCATCTTTGGAGTGCTGGGGCTTCTTTGTTGCGTCAGGAACCGCAGCTGCTGCTGCTGTGCACTGCAGCAGCTCGATGGGAACAAGAAAGTCCTCCTTGTCTTCTGCTCCAGCAGCAACAAAGACGTGAGTTGCTGCTGCTGCTGCGCCCCTCGCCGTCGCTTCTGCTGCTGCCGAGCTGCACGTCCGGTAGTCCTTCCAGCGCCTCAGCCGCAGCACCCAGCTGCTGGCGAGCATCAAGCCACCCCATGAGAGCAGCAGCAGCAGCAGCAAAACTGAGCAGGGCGTCTGCAGCAGCCACGGCAGCGCCTCTGCCTCCTCCACCGTTTCTGCTGAACTCGCATCTGCGGCGGTCGCTGCAGCAGGAACTGCCGCTGCTGCTGCTGCAGTTGCTGCAGCTTCTGTCGGGCCTGCTGAGAGACCTACAGTCGAGCTTGCAGTAACAGCTACAGCTGCGTAGGCCGGCGGTGCCGCTGCCGCTGCATTCCTTCCTGCTGCAGCCGAAGCCGCTGTTGCTGAAGCTGCAGCAGCGGCAGCTGCAGCGGCTGCAGCTGCAGTGTCCGCTGCCTCGTGCTCGCCTATGGCGAGAGCCAGCAGCAGCAGCGCAGCAGCAGCAAATGGCCACAGGTCGAGTCGCTCCCAGAGGGTTCGCGGCCTCAGCAGCTGCGCCCTCTGCCCCAGGGGCAGCGCATGCGCATGCATTCCTAAACCCTAAACCCTGGACACTTTATCCTCGATTTCAAACCCTCACGCTCGCTGCGAGGCCCTTGCTGCTGAGGGCAACCTTGTGGGGAAGCCTGCAGCCGCGGCGTCCGGCGAGTCGGGGCTAGTACAAAGCTGCGCCGCCACTTGGTGCTTAGGGTTTAGGGTTTAGGGTTTAGCGAGACTTTGGGTTGAGCATTCAGTGCCTTACGGGGGCCCGAGACGCATCCCCAGACGCCCTGCCTCAACACCAGCGAGGGCTCCGCAGCTCGAGAGCTAGGGTGTATATTCTGTGGCTTGGAAATGACCCGTTCGTGCTTTCCAAGAAAGGCAGGTCAAACAAACAAGCAAAGGGATAAACAGGAGGGTGGTGGCCTGCGAGGGGATAAGGAAGGTTTCTAGTGGACTTGCCGCAGACATTGTCTCAATAAATTCATGTTCCGCGGCCGAGTGTGTTGTTTATTGCTTAGCGATTAGGGTCTAGGCTCTAGCATTTAGGGTTTGGTGTCTGAGCCGGGGCTTCAGCCGTCCACGCATAGGCTCTGCGCTCTGTGCGCTGTCTCGCGTGCCAAGGGTTCGTTTGCTACACATATCTTTCATTTCTGCTTTGTTTTTGTCAGTTCTGTTTCTGATCAATATAATTAGGCTTATTTGCGCTGCTTCTCTCTTGTGTTTGTCCGAAAATGAAGGTAACTGCAGCCTCTCTGGCGGCCACCGCCACGGCTGTGGCATTTGCTACATCTGCAGCTGTCGGTTCACCTGAGCCCCCTCCTAAGCTCTCTGGGGAAAAATTGGCCGAACTAATGCAGTTAAGCCTCAGCGAAATTAAAGACAGAATGGAGACAATCTTTTCGTTCATAGACACAAACGGCGACGGCGTCATCACCACGGAAGAGGCGCAGCAGTGGAGCACCCGCCTCAAGGACGCCATGCACAAACACCAGGTTCGGCAGGAATTTATTTCGATAGACAAGGACGGAGATGGAAAGATTACACTGGAGGAACTTGAGGTCACCTACACTGACGGCGCAGACGCGGCCAACCAGGAGGCTCACAAGGTATTGAATGCATTCATCCTTGGGGCCTGGGGTTTAGGCTTTCGGTTTAGGATTAGGACCCACGGGGAGAACTCTCAGGCCCAAGGAGGGCGGGCCTGTCTGTGCTGCGCCGCAGGAGGAGGTTCAGAAGAGATTCGCAGCCGTTGACAAGGACAAGAGTGCGTGTGGCGGCTGTCGCTGTTGGCTCTGCGCCGCTGGGGCCTTGCGCTGCGGGTATGTTTGAAGGCTAAGGGTAAAGAGGTGGCGTTTGCGCGCAGGCGGGAGCCTCAGCCTTGAGGAAGTGACTGTTCTCATGGATCCCGGCAAAGACGCGACGCTGATGCAAATAGAAGTGGACGAGATCATGGCAGTGAGCATCTCCGGCTTAGGATGCAGAGTCTAGACTGGGTCTTCACTTGTTTTTTTTTCGAAGCGCTGGGCGTGTTTTGTGGCATTTCGTGTCTAGGCTCAAGACAAGGACAAGGACGGAAACATCTCCCTTGACGAGTTCCTCCTCAACGAAGGCGGTAAGTCCCAAACCCTAGTCTGCTTCGAAACCCTCTAATTGGCGTCTAGCGTTGCGCAGTGCAGCGCCAGCGAGCAGCAGCAGGATGCTGCAGCCGCAAGATTTGCTGCTGCAGCAGCAGGAGTGCTGTGGCTGCTACTGTCTACAGGCACCCTGACTGACCCCGAGCGCGAAGAACTGACCCGCGAGTTCTCGACTTACGACAAAAACGGCGACGGCAAAATCGACGAGGCGGAGCTACGCGCAGTCATAGAAGACCCGCACGCCCACGACCTGCAGCAGATGATGGAGTCTTTGGCTGCAGAGATGGAGGACGGGAAGATCACCAAGGACCAGTGGACCGACAAGTTCGAAACTTTCTCGGTCTCCATGCTCACAGACAATGGGGAGCTCCTGCGATTCCCCGAAGAGTACGAGGGGGTGGACCTCCCCTTCAAGGGCATCAGCGTGGGGCCCGGGGATGAGGACGCAGTTTCCCACGATGAGCTTTAAAGCGGGCGCCCAGGCCCGGAGCCTGCAAGTGGCTGTAGAGGACATGGGCTCGGCGCTGCTGCAGCGGGGCGATTAGCTGTGTATACGTTTTGGGGGTTCCGAGCTGTCGATCTGTGGGCGGGGTGTGCGTCCCTGAAGCGCTGCGCACGTGTCAGGGAGGCTGCGGGACTGCCCAGCGAGCTAGCGGGCCTGCGATCTAGCTAGCTACGTAGCTAGCTCGCAAGGGTGTTAGCCACAGGTGGGGACGAGTCTGCGCCAGATGCATGGGCTCCTCTCCGGCGATATAGGCAGCTAGCCAAATAATCAGCTAGTGCTTTGCTAGCAGGCTTGTCAGGGGCCGCTCATGAATAGCCATCCCCCTTTCTGCAGCCCGCCCTCCTTCTTTGACTAGTTGCCTGACCTTGCAGACCTTGGCCTCTGTCAGTCTTTATTACTACAGAACAGAAAAGGCAGACAGAGATGCTCACGGGGTTTGGGTGATTAATGTAGTTAGGAGCTACTTGTGGCGGTTTGGCCGGTGCTGCTGCTATGTTCTAAAAGCAGTTGCCGATGCAGCTTGTCTTGTTAAAGCAGCAGCTGCTGCGACAAGGGAACAGCTGGAGTATCCAAAGCTATTAGATGTATCCTAAGTATTTAGTTTGCGAAGTGCTAGTTTGCGGCGTACACTTCATTGTGCGGGGTTTTTGGTCTAGTGCCGGGTAGCAAGAGTGCGACACAGTGATGTTGGGAATGGGTGGGGAACAGTCACAGATCTACAGGGTCAGGCGACTCAGCTGGTCCTGGAGGGAATGCAGTACTGCAACATGGTGTGCCAACTTGGCTGAATGAGGCCTACTAAAGGAATAACTAGCTGGTCGGTAATGCCAGGTGGCAGGAGCAGCAAGCAGCATCGTCTCCTGTTGGCTACTGTGGGGAAGGAGGCGGCAGTGGTCGCTTGCGTAACGGGCTACAGAGGTGTTTCCATGGTGACGACAATCATCCTTTGCAGCAGTGAAGGCTGCAGTAACTAGCAGTGACAGCACTCATGGCCGCAACTATGAGATACCGTCTTAAGCAAACTTCGTGAGTTTGGTGGTGCAGCACTGCGGCGGAGTCGGTTAAGAGGCAGCTTCGCTACATAAGCATGGGCCCGAAAATTTCTATCGCACCGCTTCTAGTGCGTGGTGCACTTGCTTTTCTGCTGAGAGCAGCAGCGGTGGATGGAGGGAGCACAGCAGGAGTTCGCTCCTCTACCGTAGTCACTGCCGTAGTTGCAACGCGAAGCTATGCACGGCAGGAGCTGAATGAACAAGTTCTTGTAGGTACTACAGCATTGAAAGCGTTAGATTCCAGGAGGCCGAGGGGCTCTTTCCTAGACAGTAATGTGCGTAATACTGCACTCACCCAGATCAGACAATGGTGGCTTGCTTGAGATGCTCCTCTACTGATAGAACCCGTTAGGCGCACCAGCATCTGCAGTGGCTAACGCTACTGTTATGCCGCTTGTCGTTCTCTTCGTGTCGTAGGAAACTGCACTTACAACACATTGTCACATTAGAAGTGCCTTTTGCCCCAAACGGCGACTCCTTGCGCTCTTCCGCTCTTCCCAGCAAGCGCTCTTTTAGTCCGTACAAATCCCATGGCCACTTGTATTTTCTAGGCAGCTTTTGCGGGAAACATCCGCAACTTCTACAGCTGTAGCGGAGAGGGAACAGTGTCGTGCTACTTATGGCTCTGCGCTGCAAAGGCCCTGTGGTAAATTTTACGAACAATCTCCGCTTTCGTGATGTGCTGAATTTTGAAAGAAGCACTGTATGCGCCCTTTCATGGCTGCACGTGTGTACAGCCGCAGTTCACTGGCTGTAAACCTGCGCGTGGCCGCGGTGGCCCGAGCAGGAACTTTATCCTTCAAATTCACGTATGTACGCAGCGTGAAAAGCTTTTATTTGTGGAGGCAATCTCTTTTCTTTTCAGTTGCATACGCAACAAGGACTTCTGTTGTGTAGTGCAAGGCTTAGCTGCATCTGCAAGTGCAAACAAAGAGACGCAGCGCTTACTGTGATAGGCCGGTGAGCCACAGGGTACAGCGCTTCCGAACAAAATAGCCCAGTAGGCCACCCCAAGACTGCAGGCAGGCAACTGCAACGTTTACTTCCGGAAGTGTAGCGGTGCATCAACGATGAGGGGGACCTTTTGTCCCTGCTACCACAGTGGCAGGTGATCGAGCATGCAGAGATGTGTCAAAGTGAGACGAGTCTAGACTTTGCACAACAGGAAGTCCTTTCGAGGAGTCGCTCTTAAGTATTATTGTGAATTTGTGAGGAGCTGAAGTAAGCAGAGTTCGCTAGAGATGCGACGGTCACTTCCAGGAGAAGTACGGATGGGCACTCTAGCAGCAGGTAACGCCAATCCAAGCTCATTAAAAGGCAATGGAGCTGTTGTTGGGCTACACTGAATTTGATTCATTTGAATGTCGTAGTTTCAAGTGCCGCTCGATGATCGAAACTTCGAAGCGCTTCGGCCTCGAGACTGCAGAACACGAAGCAGTGCGACCACCCATCAATCAAAGGCTTTTTAAGACAGGAGCTTGCTCACCTACTTCCATAGTATTGCTGGTCATATTCCAAAGGTCCGCAGTAAAAAAGGAGCAAATGCAGGACACCGACTGTGTCGCCGTGAGACAGGGCTGGAATACTTGACGCGCTCTTACATTGCCCTGCAGTGATCGACGACGCGAACTAGCTGTTTTTCATTGTGGTGCTATGATAGAAAATAGGAGAAGCAAATAAATTACTAAGTTCAAGGGCTTACAGGGATTGTGAATATTGTGAGACGGAAGGTGCCTTAACAGCGCTCGGCGCGAGGGCTGGCTGAGCCTCACTGCAAGCGAAGCCGTATGCCTCACCTTATCCCATTCTTTCATGAAATAATATTCACTTGTTTTTGTTCTTTTGTTTTAACTGGTTCAGTTGTGGAGCCTGCCCGTACCACTTGTTAGTACAATAGGAGGAAGACCCCACGCCTTAACAGCACTGGAAAATGACACGGAGAGCGCTCTGGAGCCTTCTGTTGCTCCTAGCGGCGCAGTTTCTCCACATTGCCGGGGTATCTGCGAGTGGTCTCTGGGTAAGTCCATCCTTCACGAGTTTCAGTCCGCAACCAACTGTCGTAAGGTCCCGAGAAGAGGCGAGTGACCACTATAGACCTACAGAGATTTTCACCGAGGTGCCGCGACGGAGCCAAAGAAGGGCAGCTTTTCCGGCCCTTATGGGGGTCGCCGTGGTGCTGGCAGTCGCCGCAATTGTTCTAATGGTTTTCCAGTGCGCCCAGAGCCTCGTCTCCAGCGGTGCAGCGGGACGGCGGCCAAGAGCGCTCTCCGCCTCTGAGGAAGCCTGCGACGTAAGTTTTCATTCTTTTCGGGAGCAATCCCTAGGCCGCTTAAGCCGTACAAGGCGCTACATCGGCGCAATACTGCGTTTGCTCAGAGCGTAGCACACTCTGTAGACACTTGACAGTTCGTTAGCCCAGTATGAGGATAGCAACGGGAACGCATTCGTATCCACCTTAATCGACCCAAGACACAGTTAGAAAAGCACTGAAAAGCAATTGGTTCTACTCTCTGCGCAGCTAGAATCACTGCGAAGTGCACCGGAGAGAGTTGCTTGTGCCCGCACTACTGAATGCTCTCGTGGAATTCCGTGGAGAATTTAACTAAGCGGAATACAGACTTTTACCACACTTAATGCATTTAGCAACAACGGGAAGAGACCGGAGTCGGGTGCACTCCGGTAAGAGTACAACAGCTTTACGATGCGCTGTGCAGAAGCTTTTGAACTGGCGATTGCTGCATGGAATCCGATTTTCTGTGCGGCGCTGAGGCTTCGTGCGTCGTGGCTATTCCTTTGAAAAGCCAAGCAAGTTACTGCATTGCCTGGCTTTTCATATATTGATTGCGGAGGTGACCGCTTCACTGTCCCGAGATTACAGCGAGGACAGTGCCGTTTAGTGTTAGCATGCACCTCTTCAATGTACGATGGAGTCTCACAGTATAGTGCGGCCATTGCTGACATATCCCCAGACAGTAGGGCTTCATGAGAAGCTTAGAGATGCTTGGGAACAAGCGCACCGGCTTCTGTGGTTGCTGGGTGTTTGTAGAGGTGTACTGCAAAGGCGATATATTGGTTACCATAATAGGCATATGAATATATACTTTTTTTGGGAAACACGATTTATGCTTTGAAAGTATGGATGGGGCGTGTAGCCCCATGCGGTTTAGGCGCCGGCGTACTACAATTTGGCCGTTGGGAAAGCACTGAGCAGCCGCCGTCGTGAATGCGTGAGCAGTTGCAAAGGGATGGTGACTTCAGTCGCTGTTGTTCTTGGCTTAGAGCTATCACTGGACTGTTTTAAAGGCGCTCCTGCAGGCCTTTAGTGGAAGTGCTTTTTGTCACCTTCCTCTTTTTCATGGCTCGTGGACCCGTCTCGCCCGTTGCGAGTGTCCCGCTGGGAGAGCAGAGTGCAATCACTGTTGCGCATGCACGGGCTGTGGCTGTGAGCTTGGAGTTGTAGTGAGAAAGCTTGTTGTTCATGGCTTCGTGGCGTTGAGATGCCCTAATATGAGTGGTGGTTGGCATGGCGGTGTTGGGAGACTCGTGTGGTATCATGCGAGCTGTTGAAGCGATGCTCACTAGAGAAGGTGAACTACTGACAATTCCAGAACCACGCGCCATCAAAGAGCTTGGCAGCCAGACGAAACGCGTACCTCATTGGGGGATCGCTAGGTTCTTTTTGTACTGGTTCTGAAGGTGTGATTCGAAGCACACAAAATGACAGTCGCTGATAAGCATTCGTCTGCATTGGCATCCGTTTTGGAAGCTTTTCATGGTGCTTTGTTGACGCGATGCACAGTGGTTCGTTTCGGTTTTTCATAACGGTAGTACCAAGGCAGGTGCACTCTGAAAGAGGGCTGCCACAGTGCACCATCCATTTGCTGAGTTGATTTCAGGGTGAAGCACTGCAGG